AATTTTACAGGAGAGATGTACGGCGATTGCAGCACAGTAGCTTTCTTTTCTGTTTAAGAAAAGCGCCAATGTTATCATCGTATACTTTAGTGCACAGCTCGATAGCAAACAAATATTGTAACATATTTTTCAAACGAACAGCGTCATGTTTTTAATTTAAGACTCAACCTCTTTTCAATTACAGTTAATTGAGTTAATTTTAATTTTGATTACCCAATGTGATGTTTTGTATATATATTATAATAAAAGAAAATTTATAAAGATTTTTTCATACATATGTAAGGAATTTTTTGCAGAACTACGGAAGCTTATCAAGTCCAGGAGACTTTCCCAGTAAAGACAGCCGTAAATTATTAAAATTATTAAGTACAAATTTATCACTACAAGAGGATTTTAACATTGGCGTGAAATTCGGCGAATTAATTTACTAAAAAGTCGAGGCTCGATAAGCTTAAATGCTCGTACTACGAATCCCTCCTTTTATAGGTAAATTTTTTATTTATTTATTTATTTTGTTGTTATTATTATTATTATTATTATTATTTTATTTTTTTTTTTTTAACAAACTACGGGTGATGCAAATATCAAATCGATTGAATTTTTCTTTTCACTTTTTATTATTAAATAACATGTTATAATGGTAAATTTATTCTGCTAGGTAATGAGGGAGAGAGAAAAGCCGCGAGTAATTCGTAAAAATATACGATTCTCCGGTAGAATTAGTATGGGGAGGGGGAAAGGAAAAAAAAAAAAAATAGCAGCGCTCCTCGAGTTCACAAATGTCTTCCTTTTTACGCCTTAGCACTGGCAAGCATCTCCTCCTGATGTATGAGATGCGTGGTGTTGTTGACAAGGCTCATGAGCTTCGACAGGGATCCCGCCCACTCGTCGAGCATCGCCGCGGGTTCTTGCGTCCTTGTGAATCGTACGACACCCGCGGGCCGGTCGGTGCGCGCACTTATTACGCCGGTCTCAACCAAATTGCAGAGGCACTGCTCGGTTTCCTCTACTGGCAGATCCAGCAATTCCGCCATGCGGCTCAGTGTGATTCTTGTGTAATATTTCGCCATTATTCTAATATTCTGTTGGGAAGAATGCGAAGACGAATGAGCAGTGAGAATTATTAGAGCACACTTAACGTTAGACTTAATTAAGCGTTAAAGAATGTGTCCATCTGTTTAACTATCATAGTGACAAGCTCAAACATATCAAAATATTATATCCGGCACGATGAATGCTTTGACTTACGTGTTCCACAACTCTATTTCGTAATTCGCCCCAACGCTTACGACCTTCTTCCGTGGCAGATGAGAATACCTCCGTTGCAAGCAAATTTTTCTCGTAAATTTCACACAATCCCGACCACTTGATTAACTCGGGATTAACGAAAAGTCGTAGTAGCTCCCTTAAAAAATAATCAAATTCTTATAAATAGTCTTATTTTCAGCAAGCAATTTCATATATTTTATAAATTTATTGTGATTATATTATATTGTTATTTTAGCCATTTCAAGGGCTTATCTGGGAATAAAAAAGTTTGATAAAGACATAGAAAGGTTTAATGTCGGTGGCCTACTTGTATATTGGTATTTCTTCGAGGAGCTTATCGGCTAACAACCTATGAGTTAAATCTGCTTGTTCTGGTTCGTGTGGAGCAAGAATAAGATATAAAACAGCTCTGGATAAAGCTGTATGCCTTTTATCGGCATCAGCCTTAACGCTTGGAGTTTCCAGAACTGCTCGATTGTGTCGGCACAATTCTAAGTACCAGCCTTCGTGGCGTGCTAATTCCATCATCAATCTGTCATAAAACAGTTTAAGGCATTAGAGCTATTTATAAAAAGTGAAAAGCGTCGTTTTTCTCAATTTTACTCACTCGTAGTATTTTAATTTCAATTCTTGCGTCTCATCGTCATTTTCATCTTCGAAGAACTTTATGTTTATTTTTTTTGCCATGACTTGGGTGCGAATGAAATCGTGCTTCAGTAGGCAGAGGCGCATTTGTTCCAATATTAATGAGGCTTTCTCCCTTCGGGACATACTGCCGTATGTCTCCACTTGCAATTCCAACATTACCGAGGCTGCGTTCGCGATATCCCCATCCTCCTCCTTTAATTTAGCTAATCTATGAGTTAGTCTTGCTCTCTCGACTTCCACGTATATCTAAATAAAAAATTGCATTTACATGGATGTATATTGTAGATGGTGACTTTTATGATTTATGCATACCTTTCCCTCCGTTACAGAACGCAAAGTTTCTATGAGTTTGATCATGATTTCTCTATCTGGAGTCTTGTCAATGTACGTACAGCACTCTTGTACCATTTTTGTTACTGCTTGTTTCAATTGAGATCGTCTTTTCGATAAGAGAACAATATGTTCGTTCAAAGCAGCCCAGTTTTTAGCTTCAAAACATATTTCTACAATGGTTATAAGAACTCTAGACGTCGATACCATATCCGAAGCCTGCGCAAATTGATAAATTAGACAGTTTTACGATTTATGCGCTTAAATTGCAAATTTCTATCGCTAATGGCAACTATTTCAATCGTTAAATTTAATTGGGTTCTGTGAAACGAGAATCCGGTAAATTCCTATTCTTACTATTATTTCGGACTTTTTCCTTTTGGACATGAAAACAAATTACATTATCAATTATAATATTAAGTTAAAAGTAAGTTTAATACAATATGGAAAATACAAAGCAAGTATAGATTTTATGAAATTTTGTAAGAGAAAAACATAACTTGCCGTTCTGGTAAGTTTTTCTAGAACTAGAAGTTGATCTAAGGCATCGTGAAGTTTCCCTTCGACAGCTAACTTTTTACATTCTGGTATTTTTGCATCGCAATTACTGCTATAGTCCACTTCCATCTTTACAATTCTACCTCCATCAACCACTGCCGAGTCCGTCATCGCTGAAACAAATCAGAATATAAGAAGTTTGTTGGGAGAAAATTATTTCAATCCCTCCACAGTGTTGTCTTGTACGTTTCATCACAAACATTAAAAGATGAAAATACATTAGCGCCAGTACTCGGGAATGCCTATTTTCATCAACATCGTTACTTTGCACTTTTTGAAACAGAAATTTAACAGAAATTCATTTCACATAGGCCGAGACGGCAAATTTGAAGATAAAACAAAGTTAAAATCAAACATAAATAGCCATTAATGAGTTTAAACTGCGCATTGCCTTATTAAAAACATATCTAAAGTCTTATAAAGTAATTGAGGTTATTTTGGAATGTCGGCAGCATTTAAAAAGTCATTCAATAGACGTTAACATTAACAATTGATATTAACAAATAAATATTTACTTAATCGTTCGGTTGCAGCGAATTTTTTAACTTAAATATTTTCAGTTACAACGGTAATTCAATAACACGAAGGACTAATTGGCGTCCTGATTAATTAAAATACAGATGCGGAAAAGCAGATATCTTTTCAATTTACATTACAACTAGTCGTCGCACTTGCTTCGTCAAAGACGTGTGTACGACGTTATCCAACCGAAAGCTCATCTGGTATTATTAAGCTTTATTCGAGCATAGAGAGTGCTTATATCAACTGCACATTAGATATAAACATTGCGTCTAGATAGATTTTTCAGCGTTTTTAGTCGCATTAATAAACGAAATTAATATCCGAGATAAAAGAATTGATTGCGCTTTTGAAAAGGATTCTACGACTTCAGTAGTTGACCAATGTCTTCGTATCTCGTAGTCGCCTCTGCTGCCAATTACTGTGTTCTTATTCCCAACATAACCTTCAATTTTATAAACGGTATTACGATAAAAATTAGTTTGCTATTGCATGATGAAATGGGAATTTAGCGAAAGTGGTGTGAAAGAAACGTAGAAGGATAATAATAAATATGATCACATATTGATATTAAATAGTCTGTAAGATTTGAAATGGCGGAGAAGGAGGTAGATGAAAGGAGTTTGGTAAGAACTGCGACGACGACGACGACGACGACGACGACGACGACGACGACGACGACGAGTGACGAAGTACCTCAGAACTTAGAAACTCTATCCTCCGATACAAATCCCTCGCACATCGAAGCTCCACTACCTCCCGTTAAAGAAAAAAAAAGTAATATTCATGTTGTGAAATTTGGGGAAATTCTAAGCTTTCGAATCACGCAGTTTTGTAATATTTTTTTGTAGTTGAGGTATTGCTCAAAGCGACCGGAGATGCCCCTATAATGATGAAAAAGAAATGGGTCGTAAGCCCTGATAATACTATTGGATGGATTTCAGAATTTATTAAGAAATGTATTAAATTGGGAGCCGAAGAAAGATTGGTAAGTCTTTAATATGTAAACATTTGATGTACGCAAGAATAATAAAGGAAAATCTGTTTTTTTTCTTTTTACTTTTTTTTTTTTTATCATACAGCGCTTGTATATTGTATTTATGACAATAGTTTCAAAGCCTAAATGCTTAGCGTCGATGGGTAAATAATGCTCGAGAACATTGCACGCTATTGTTTAAGAATTCAATTCCAAGCCAAATGCTCTCTCTCTATAAAATATTTATTTTTAAAAAGATAATATCTTTTTTTTCATGCAATACATATAAAGGCTTGACTTTTGAAATATTGAAATTAATTCCTTACCTCGCTGTATTTTAGATTAAATAAACATCAATGAAGATAAGCTTCTTTATAGAAAGAAAAATGAACAGATTTTCTTATTAATTTACAAAATGTACGTGATATTCGAGGGGGAGAAAAAAAAGAGGAAAAAAGAAAAATGACAAAAATACATTTTCATTATAAAGAATAATGAGAAGGAATTAAAATTTTTTATATATTTTGCAGTTCTTATATATTAATCAAACTTTTGCACCAGCTCCGGACCAAACTGTGAAAAACCTTTATGATTGTTACGGAACAGATGGGAAACTCATAATTCACTATTGTAAGACTCAGGCTTGGGGTTGAAAATTGCAACGCTATTAATGAAAAAGGAAATTTCTCAATTGGCAATGTTTTTATATTTTTTCTTCCGACTGTAGACCGATTTATTCAAATAGAAGGATAATTTTGTGATAATTTTTCTTTCTTAATTTCTTTCGTTCTTTCATTCTTTTTCTTTTTCTTTATCATTATTTTTCTAACTCAACATTTTCTCAAGACTTTGAACGATGAAAGTGTTTGAAGCTTTAAAAGTTTTGAATTAATTTATTCGCATATCAAATTTTGTATAAAATTAAGGCTTAAATGTATAGTACTTATAATAAGATACAAAACGTTTTTATACTTAAAAAGAAATTAATTTCAAAAATCTTATGCGCCTACACGAAATACCATTCAATTATTGTATAAATTATATATTAAAGTCATTTAATCCGTATTTTTTGCTGATTCGTATGTTATTATTATTAATCTAATTATATTTATGGTGAATAAATTGCATTGTATTTTATTGTATAGATTTTAGTCGTTTGTAAATAATATTGTTTAGAAATAAACTATACTAGTGACTTGGAAAATCGAGTATTTTCGAATTATTTTAGATTTTTAATTTAATTATTGCGACTTAATTCACTCGTTTTTCGATTTTTGAAATACACCAGATGATTATATGTATTATATTGTATTATTAATTACATCTGCAATTGTTTGGACTTGGCTGCGTTGGATCGCATTTGCAGGGCTTACTATCTGTATTGCCTGAAAAAGTTGAAATTACAAATTTAAATAACATTCAACTTGCAAAAGAGATTTTCTTTTTTTTTTTTTAACAGCTGATTGTAATAGTCTATGTGTATTACCTTCGTAAACGGCTTTTATGCTTTCATTGGTTGTCGATCGTGGAGTAAAATCAGCAATATTCTCAGTTTCTAATTCTATTGGATGATGCTTTTTGAATTCTTGCTCGCGTATGCTGCATGTCGACCTTGAATCAATACTTGACATTTCATGATGATTGATTTCATTATCATCATTAAATTTCATCTCAAATGGACATTTCCATATCATAATAGCCCCATCGGCACTGACTGTCACAATGTTTTTGCCATCGGGACTGATCTTGCATGCCGTTATTATCGCAGCATGTCCCATGCCCACATGACTAGTTTCTCCAGTTTCGTACGACCACAACTTAACAATGCTGTCATTTCCACCAGTTACGAAGTATTTTCCATCGGGCGATATATCGATGCAATTAAGAGCTCCGACTCCGGATCCTTCGAGTTCTCGTATCATTAAACCATCTAATGTCTCCCAATACGATATTTTTCTATCTGTGCCGCATGTTAAAATTTGAATATTATTAGGACTGAAACAGGCAGCCATATACATTGTATTTCCCATTAATACTTGTTTTCTGGAACCACGTCTATAAAATTTTCATACGTAAAGTAATTAATATTTATCGGTAGTGTTTGATGCGTTGCATTATATGACTTACTGAATATCCCAAATAACACATGTTCCATCGGTACTGGAACTGATTACGTGCGTACTATCATTATTAGTGTGCAAGGATGTTACAGATCCTCGGTGTTCTTTCAAAACCCAAACTAATTTTTGTATTTCAGGTTCTAACTCCCATACTCTTATCTAAAATAAAATATTCTAAATGCTATTCGTACATTCCAATGTAATTGACAGCAATGAATATATCAATTTCATTTTACTTTTAAATCCATGACTTTTATTATTTTTATTTATTTTATTTATTGAATATTGTTTTGTTTTTGATTGACTTGTTTTATTCATTCAAGGGAAGCGTGTATGTTAATAACGATGATGACAATAATTATAATAAATAATAAATACTACCACTACCACTACTGCTACTACCACTACTACCACTACTGCTACTACTACCACTACTACTACTACTACTACCACTGCCACTACTACTACTACTACTACCACTACCACTACCACTACCACTACCACTACCACTACCACTACCACTACCACTACCACTACCACTACCACTACCACTACTACCACTACCACTACTACTACTACAACAACAACAACAACAATACCTCATTAGGATTAAATATTATTTTTTGGTAATAAATCAGAAGTTTTTGTTTAAAAGAGACAGTAGCATTTGTTTACTTAATTTTTTGGAGATCAAAAGCTACGTAAGGATTTAATTTATATTATTCATTATTAGGAAATTATTAAGAAATTGGGTAATCATAAAGTTTTGTATACATATGTTAGCGGTTTCTTTAAAAATCATTTCTCATTTCAATCATCTCATTCGAAAGATTGAAAAAAAAATGCAAACTTTATATATATATATATATATAGAACGGTATTAAAAAAAAACAATTTTAATATCTAATAATTTAAAAGCTTTAATATTTGATATTTATATATTTTAAAATTCTTAAAAGTAAAAGTAATGTATAAAACATGCTTAGCAAGTTTAAAGTTCATCAATAAATGATTGTTTTCAATTAGTGTCATAATAGTAATAATAATAATGTCAATTAGTAGTCGAAATAAAAGATTTATATATATAAATATATGTGTAATGTATATCAGTTTGCTAATAATATTATTAAAAGAAAATTTATCTTATACACATTGTATAAGAATCATAGAATAACAAACGGAAAGGCGAATGTTAAAATGTTAAAATACATACCGCACTTGATTTCGTACAATGTTAAGTATATATTTTGATTGAAAATTTCAAATTACTGGCCAATTTGCGTAAGTCGCAGCTTAATAAATATTACGTTAAAGAGGAATAAAAGAATTAAATTAAAAATACCTGCCCATCACAGCCGCCGCTTATTATTTTTCTCCCATCATTCGTTAATGTAACCGCAGAAACAGCTTTTACGTGTGCGTTTATAATTGCGAAGATTAAGCGACCAGTTTGCGGTGTAAAAGCTCGAATTATACCATCGTTCCAAGCTAAGAATAAACAATAATAAAATTTTTGTAGCTCAGTGCGTACTCAATAATCATTTAATAGATAATGCGAGATAAGGTTGAATCAATTTTAAGCGTTTGTGCGAGTAGATTTTACAAAATGAATAAATTTAGCCATTATAAGTTTATAAAATTAAGAAAATTTTTTTTGCTTTTGTCTTTTTTTTTTTTTTTTTTTTTTTTTTTTTTTTTTTTTTTTTGTCTTTAATAATTAAATTGCTGTGCATTAACTGTGCGTGGTTCCTAAGATTTATGTGGAGACATTGATTTAAACTATCACCTGATACCAGCATTGTCCCGTCGTGAGAGAAATAAATGCTTGTGCACACAAAATTCGGCACAGTGATTCTTAAAAGTTCTCTTTGCGTTTCTAATCTCCATAATCTGATATCATTTTTGCTGCCAGTAGCAAATATTTCCGAATAATTACTGAAATAAATGAATTTATTGCAAAAGCTATATAAATGGTGGCAACATTAATGAAGCATTAACATTGATAACTCGAGCAACTTTCGTTCGATAAGTTATCGGCAATAATATCAATAAATACATCGTTGTACATCCAATTTAACGTCCAATCTAGTTTTTCACGAATTTTCAACATTCATTTATCGAAAATTTCCTTTATCATCATCGACTTGGCAATGTGGCTTTGAGAGAAAAAGAAAGAAAAAAAGAAGAAGAAGAAGAAGAAGAAGTAGAAGAAGAAAAAAAAACAGAGACAAAAATAAAAGAATGTTTACATAATGACGAATTGTTAATCGAAACATATTTATTTATTTATATGATAATGGTTTAAACGGTTGTACGGCCAGTTGTTGAAAATGCCCGACTACATACACACATACATAAATGATTGCTCCGAGTCCTAATATCAATATATATTATCACAATGTTTGTCACTGCGGAAAGCACGTGGCAGATTTATTAGCTTACAGCTTATTCAAAAAGCCAAACCGAAGAAAGCTGAAAATGGTGAAAAATTTCATCAAGCGGGTCGTTGAACTTACTGTGGAAAAGCAATATCGTAAATTGTGGCGGTGTGACAGGTGACGAGAAGACGCATATCAAAATTGGATAGCTTGATTTGGTAAATTTCACTGAAAATTGTGCCAACGATTATGTATTCGTCTTTCCATAAAACCAAGGAGCTTACGCCACTACGAACATTTTCGGCAAGAAGCTGCAATGAATATCATCGTTATCATGTCTTGTCTATTATCATCTGGAAAATTGATTTTACGTTTTCTTTTCTTTTTCTTTTCAAATCATATAGGTAATCATAGAGGATGCATAATGAATAAGCTCCGAGGGAAGCTCATAACGTAATAACCCGTCGAAGCTTATAATTAATGACAAAGTTTCAGGATAAGAGTCTTTTATTCCAAATGACAGACACTTAACTTTGTTTACGTTTTTTTTTTTTTTTTTTTTTTTTTTTTTTTTTTTTCAATTTATGCAGTCTCGGTAAAATATTATTTATTATTCGTCTTACGCAATGCCAAACAAATATCGGAAACGGTTGCATTTTAGATTTCTGTTATGCCAATGATCTTACGCGTTCTCTCTCTCTCTCTCTCTCTCTCTCTCTCTTTATTTTCCCTCCTACTAGTTACGAGACTTTGTTCATTATGTGTTTTTTTTCCATCTATTTTTTAAATTTTTTTCTTTTCTTTTTTACTTTTTATCAAACATTGTTTTATAAATATTGCGCTCGCAAAAGATTATTTATTTAAATATTGATTAATAAGGCTTGTTAACAATCATAAATGTAGTCGATAACTGACTATATTGGAAAAATGTATGCTTATCTATAATGACGTATTTAAATTAATTATTATTTAGTGGAAAACATGTTTGACGAAGTATGACCCTGGAGATCGATTGCGATTAGAAATGAATAGATAATGACAGGTTGGAATTGAATTTAATACAAGTTGATTCGTATATTTGTGACGATATTGTTACTTACCAGATCGATTACTTAAATAATCTATATTATTGAACGAGCAATAATAATTTCAGTTTTAGAAGTTGAATTTTCTATTTCATCGATCGACAATCGTTCATAGAGATGGGAGGCTTAATTTCACGCGGCAATTATCCAATTAATATTGAATATTGAATGTAAACTTGAATGAAAATTAAAAGGTCAAGCAGTCGTTGAGCGTAACAATGATTTTAATATTCGTTTTTCTTGTCATTTTTAATTATTCATTTTTCATGTTTTTTTTTTTTTTTTTTTTTTTTTGATTTTGTTTTTCACTCGTATTGAAAAATTAATTGCACGCTTGTAAAATGAGTATATTATTATCGTTTAGATCGGACAAACACGATGACACGTATATCGTGCAATTTTATCTGATAATTTTATTCTGAAAAATTTTCATACATTTTTCCCATTCTCGATGATGGAAAATCCAATAACTACTCGAAGCGAGTAACATCAATAATAACAACAACAACAACAACAACAACAATAATGATGATGATAATACCGTTTTTATTTGTGGGGTGCTCGGTGATTTGATTTTTTTATTGCTTTTTATGTTAACGTCGATGATTGTCACCAGCTCCAATGTTCCGTCCCCAGTGCCAACTATCATTTGATCGATCTTATAAAGTAGCAAATTTGTGACGCCACCGGAATATAATTCGCCAATTCCAAGCTTGTAATTTTTCGGATTTTTCGATATTTTTGAATAACAGCCGATCATCAATGGCGTTTGTACGGGCTCCTTCTGCTCCAGATTGTGGTAATAATTCAATCTTCGTCATACAATAAATCATTGGTTTTATGTCAGCCTTTCATTAAATCGTTTAAATTAAATATCTAAAAAGCCCTTTGAAGGTGCAATATTTCACACATATACAAATGTTTTATATCCGTTTGACGCTAAGGGCCATCAGATTCCATTAAAATTACTAAATTTCATTAATTCCTTACATATTATTACAGTCCAAAGCTAAATATTTTATCAAATATATTAGCCACAAAATAATACAATAAACATATAAAATAATACAATAATACAATAACAACACAAAATAATACAATAAATATTAAGAAAAAAAAATTACTTTATAATTAAAATTTTTTACACACGCACGCACGCACGCACGCACGCACGCACGCACGCACGCACGCACGCGCACACACACGCACACACACACGTACGTATTTATTTTATCTGATATTTTATTCAGCGTTTAATTGTAAAGCCTATTCTAATTATAATTAATCAGCTAAATTATTTATTAAAATATTTACTAAATAATCCGTTACCAATTTAATTAACATTATTGACGTTTAACTTTAATATCCAAATAATGCTTAATTATTATTTTATGAATCGAAAGTTTTATCGAGAATTTTTATATTGTTATGTAATACAAAAATGTATAATAATACAACAACAAACAAACAAACAAACAAACAAACAAACAAACTAACAACAAACAATTGACAACAACAAAAAGCTTTAACTTAATAAATACAATAGTAAAACGACAAAATGAAACGATAACAATTTTTTTTCGTATAATGTTTCGGATGAATGTTTAGAAATTTCTTTTGATAATTGTGTAAAGCATTTGTTGTTATAATTTCATTTAATCCGTGATATTGTTACCTGGCTTTAATAATATCACCGGAGGAAGTTCCGCAATACGCCAATTCGTCTCTGCCGTCAATCACGATGCAGTTGATGCTTCTTCGGAGTTTGCCAACTTTCACATCAACTCCATAGACTTTTCTCGTTTCTGGATTAATTCGCCAGACTTTGAATGTTCGATCGCCACTCGTTACGAAACATTGATCTCGCAAATTTGTTTGCCGAATCGTATATGCATTGCCCGCTATTTCCGTGCTAGCACAAGCTCCTGTATATTTTTGTTGTTGTTGTTGTTGTTGTTGTTATTAATCAATGGACTAGTTACGAATTCTTATAACGAACAATCCTCGCATTCATTTCATTAATTAACATACGTAATCTTCATTTTTTTTTATACGAATATTTTTAATAATTTCATGAGGTCTAAGTAATAGCAGTAATGTGACATTCGTCTACGTCTAACATATAATAATCGGCAGAAATTGTTGCTAACTTTAATTACCAATTAAAATGCGTTTCTAATTTTGATAATCGTACTCTTTGATGCTTTATACGCTCGTATAATACGATAAATAAATCGTATCGAGTAATAAATAACGAGCTAATAATTTAATAGAATATTTTGTTATTTGAGTTGCGTATAAAACATCAAAGAGTACGATTATTTATTGATTGATTTATTTATTTATTTATTTTATTTTATTTTTTTATTTTTGTTTTTGTTTTTGTTTTTGTTTTCTCTCTATTAAATGAGAGCATTTGAGAGCAAAATCTAGGGCATTGTTCGTTTGATATCGCGCTCGACCGATAAATGTTTTATGATGGCGAATCGTAGTTTATGTAAATGAGATTGTAAAAAAATTTACCGCATAATGCATCATTCTTGTTGACATCCCATATCACAACGTTTCCATCGTCTCTTCCTCCAAGGCTTATTAAGAAATTACTTTCGCAAGAGAAGCACACATTTTCAACTCTCACTTTATGTATCGTGTGACTCGCTTTCAATTTTCTCTGATGATAATCCCATATTATAACAGTCGCCTGAGTCATTGACAAATACATTTCAGTAAAATGATAATAAGGAAGGTGAAAATTCATACTTTACAATGGCAGAACGTACTTTGAAACCCATGTGATTGATTTGTCCAGAAGCAATATATTTTCCGCATGGTGATATGCAAATTGTCGATATTAAATTAGTGTGGCCCGATAAAAAATATTGTGCACCTGATTCGATGTGCTTAATCGTAACTTTATTTCCCATAGGATAAACAAAGTGTTTTTCGTCCGGATGCAGTTGCAAACTGTTTTTAGTCAAGCCTACGTTGTTACAAATCAATCCATCCGATTAGTGTTATAATTGTATATTTATCGTGCTCGTACGAGCAATTTTCGTTAGACCAAAAGAATTTATTTACATGATTAGCCCAATATCGTAAAGCTTACATACCATCAAATGCAACTATTCCACTTAATTCAAGGTCCTGAAGGTCCATGGTAGATTAAATAAAAAAAAATATAATAAGATTTATATATTATTATATATTAAAAATATAAATATAATAAGCTAAGTTTTGTATAAATGCTAAAGTAAGTACATGTGGCGTTAATCATTCGAAACAATGTTCTCTGTAAATATGTTACCATAGCAATGTTGAAGTTCAAATGTACACTTGTTTCAATATAAATATTTATAAAAGTAAATCTTCTTTATTACTTAATGATTATTTTGAGTAAAGTTATTAATAATTTTTATGTATTATGCCTTTAATCAGCTTTAACAACATTGCTAAATTTGCTTTAAAACGCAAAAGCTATGATTTAAATTGTCGTAATAACAATTTACAATAGGGATGAATTTTTTTTTCATTTTCACGATTTACTTGCTCCTAGTCACCTATTATTATTATTATTATCATTATTATTATTATCATTATTATTATTATCATCATTATCATCATTATTATCATTATTATTGTTGTTATTATCATTGTTATTATCATTATCATTATCATTATAATTATCATTGTTATCCTTATTATTTTTTTTATTGTTATTATTGTTGTTGTTTTTGTTGTTATTATTCAGTTGTATTTGGCAATACGTATGGGGAAGTACTTTAGCATTGTTTTGACTCGCGTTGTACAAAACCATACATGGATACGCTGCCAACAGTTTCATTTAAAAATTTTGCTGATGTAAACACCAGTCGGGCAGCCAGTGTTTTCTTAAAATTTTTCCATTAAAATGAAACAAGAATCGATAAATACGTCATTGATACTCGAGTAGGTATTTTAATATAGGCTTTTTTAATCTTAAGAAAATTGAAATATGCGACTCGGAGCGGCGAGTGATATTTTTATAATCGACATAACCTCATTGATGTGTCTTTGGACAGGAATCTGAATCCCACATTTTGGAAAAAAGGGAGATTGGAGACTTTCGGGCATTGGCCCTATAAGTCGGAAAGTCATCGATGCACTCCAGAGAATATGGCATCGGCTGGATTTTTTGCTGTTGGTGAAAAGGATGAACCTGACTTGGTCGAATGTTTCATATGCAGTAAGCAGCTAGATGGATGGGAGCCCGACGATGATCCATGGTGAGGAATAAATGTCAGCTGCTCGACAAATTATCTTCTGCGAAAGCAATGTTTTCCCAATGTTCCCAATGAACGGCCATGAAAAGTATGCTAAAATTTGGGTACTCGCGTCGCAGAGTTTGGGAGATAATCAATTTTTATTTGTCGATCACTTCGATGTAATGCCACTTTTAACTAGAGAGTGTAAAAGTGTAAAAAATTAATATAAGGCCGTGGCATTTAGATATTCGCAGCATTTAAATTGGAATGCCTTTAAATCAATTGCTTATAGATTAATGTGATCCAAGAGCTGCGACGTCGATTAAAAATAACCAAACAGCTCTGTCCGTTCCCTTGGAAATCTCTATTCCTTATTTAAGCTAAGCGCAGCTTGGAGCATCGATGTCGTCGAATTGTTTATTAATCCTACATGTATATGCACTATTAATGTAACATAATGTTTGTGGTGTAGGCAAGAGCATAAGAAGCATCAGCCAAATTGCCTGTATATAAAACTAAACAAATCAGACGAAGGATCTCTAACCATAAAGGAGTTATTTCAATTAATGCAACATTACTATGCGCGCAATAAAGTGAGTGAAATAAATAGGGAGTTTGTATCATTATGTCTCATTATGAGCCTCGAGGTAATCAATTAGTATTAATGCTCATTCGACGTTCGTTCATTTTCAGAATCTTGAGTTTGAGAAGCTCATAGGGACGTTGAAAGAAGAATGGAAGACGTCGGCGAGCGAAATCCCCCACATTTACGAAGAGATGAAGAGCAGACAAAAGAGCATAGACTAGTTATACAAGTAATTATAATATCCGATACATAAAATAATTATGTCAATATTTTTATACGCTTTAATAAAACTGAGATTTATAATATTACACAACGCAAGATTATTACTCCTATCCACGTTGAAATTGTGAAACGAATAGAGATCGTTGCGCCGATCGACGACGACGACGAGTCCTCTCCTAGTCGTTGTTCCCCCTCGCATCCCATCGCGCCAGTCGAGTGCGGATCACCAGCCCTATCGCGACGACGCGCCTTCGCGATCTCCGATGCGCATGTAGAGCGGCTGTTGACCGTCGAAAGGGGACGAAATAGAGTGGTGCCGAGTGGTGTGGTGTGGTGAGGTGAGGTGAGGTGAGGTGAGGTGAGGTGTGGTGAGGTGTGGTGAGGTGAGGCGAGGTGAGGTGAGGCGAGGTGAGGTGTGGTGAGGTGAGGAGTGCCTCCAGTGGAGTGGTAGTAGCCTGTCTTTCATCCCAGATTGGGTAAAGATTAAAGGAAAGGAAAAAGAAGAAGAAAGCCGATTGATAACGAATGACAGGAGGGAAGTGCTGGGTTGGCGGCGACGACGATGGCGACAGGCGTCCCCTACACGCGCATCGGCATCGCGTGAGCGCGCATTCGCCCACTCGAACGTCCCTCGCATCCTCCAGACACTCGGGCCAGCCACAATGCTCGAGGACGAATCGCATCTCTGGTCCAGTGAAGAGAGGATACCGTTGCTAAGGAGCTGGAAGCCGACGGTCCCGACGGAGCTGCTGTGGCCGCGAGCCGAACGCCGAGGTAAAGATCGATGATATCTGCGATGGCGGACCGGGAGAGTCCGGATCGTCGGAACGTTACTCGAGGGCCGGTAATATTCCACCTCGTGCTGTTATCCTCTCGGGACACCTCGTCCCTCGCCGCGCTCCAACATTATCAATTACCTCGTCGCGACGTTAGACTTTCGGGCGCGACGAGCGGCTCGTCGATCGTCGATTGTGTTTACAATGTATTTCAAAATATGTATGGAAGTGCGGGATCGCCGATTAATGATAATTTCGAGCGAGTAGGAGTCCATTGTTTATCGGCACTTGTACTTTCTTCTGTTAGCCTCGCGCTTCGTTATCAAACCACATTATTTACTCGATGTTTTTGGTAAAATTAGTTCAATGTTGATTCGATTAGTGTTAACTGTCAACGTCTCGCGGGGGCAATAATTCACAAACCGATGAATAATCACGATCTTTAGAACATTATTTACAATTTATAAACGGTTTATAATGTTAAAAATTATTTCCACATTCGCTTGACATTTATTATGAAACCTCAAGTAATGGGGCATCCTATTAAATACTCTGGTAAAATTATCTTTTCACTACAATAATTACATTAAATTCATCGCTAAGCGCTTTGCATTTTATTTAAAAAGTATAGGCAGAGATATGGAATAACGTTGATTATTATTTACCATTTGTATGGCATTAGCGGCAGACATAGGACACTTCGAGCCTTTTACTCAATTTGCTCACTATTGGTTTAATTCGTAAAGGCAATTTCGTCGATAATTATTCCGTCGAGATAATCGTAATAATCGTAACAATAATAACAACGAAATAACTGTTATGTAATTTTTCGATCATTGAAAACACGACTGACCATTTGAGGCAAGAAATCTATGGATTAAAATTTTCAACTTTCATCATAAGTCGACGTTTAATTGAAGTTAAATAAGATATTAATAAATTAATAAGAATTCGCGAAAATAGCAAATACAATGGAATTTTTCAAATTATAATCGAACAATAAATAATCAAATTTTTAATGGTAAGTACGATATAGTGGTAAACAGAAACAAAAGCAGAAACAAAAACAGAAACAGAAACAGAAACAGAAACAAAAACAGAAACAAACAGAAACAGAAACACAGAAACAGAAACAGAAACAGAAACAAAAACAGAAACAGAAACAGAAACAGAAACAAAAACAGAAACAAAAACAAAAACAAAAAGAAAAAGAAAAAATGAAAAGAAAAAAACACTTGTATCAATCATCGACGTCTAATGTTCATCTATAAAATTGTCATAAATTTAAAAGTCATTATTATACTTACAAGTCACGATCTTATGCCTATGTAAACATTTACAATTACCGCTCTCAATTGTTTAATCCAATTAATAATATAATTGATAATTGCCAGGCATAATTTTGCAATTTTTGTCCCAAATACTCAGTCAGACATTAATATCATATAATCTCATATATCATGCAATACATATAATCTCATTGCACAGTTGTATAAGTGACGTAGAAAAAACGTCAAGTTTTATCAAATCTCCAGGCTAAAACAGGTCAAAAAATCACGTTGAGTTAGATTAAGCGGATACATACTTAAATGCTGTATGTAAGCGAATATTTATCTTAAAAAATTACTATTTATCGAGTAGTAAATGAAATGTAAAAATTATGAAAAGAAAGCTTAGATCGGTAAAATAAAAAAATAAAATATATACCCAACATAAATTACACCTTTACTTTTAAGAAATACAATTATTCTCGACGGTAAATATTTTTGACAAATATTAAGAAAGTAGTTAATCGAATTTTGAGAATTGAGAGAACGCTTATACATACATCAAATTGCATTGTAGTTATAAATATTATAAATTTCATTCCGTCGATGCACTCGATGCGTTAATTGCAAATGAAGATGATTACACATCGGTAGTACCTACTATGAAAAATAACAATAATGCTACAAATTGTCGTGAATGTCTTAAGCAAATACTCTATAAATAGCTCTATAAACTTAATATATATTACTCTATAAATAGCTAATTATAAGTTAGACAACTTATCGAGAGTCTGCATATGCGAATGTATATAATTAATGTTGCGGTTGAGAAAATGAAAATTGGAAATGCGACGATGATGTAATAATTATCGTTTATTGAAACGTTTTGCACATCGCTGATTTACAAAGCATTGAGCATTTCATTGTACGAAATTATGTTTTATCGGATTTTCCGTATGATTTCCGATTTAAATATGATAACGTTAATTCTTAAACGCGATTATAATTTTTTTTATGTATAATTAATTTATAGAATTCTGATTTCCCTGTTATAATTGCTATACGTAAGGGATGCCGTTAATTCACCTTAAAATTAAGTCTTAAAACAATTATTTCAATATTTCAACTTACTCGTTTGAATAATTTGGACGTAAGTATTGAGAGTAGTAATTATTAATTTTGGAATAATGAAATATTTCCAATAATGTTATTAATCGCACTGGCATACAGAAAATATCTTCTAGATAAGTGATAGCGAATATTTAAATTAAAATTTGTTTGAATGAGAATTTTAGATCAATACAAAATTTTATCGCCAATAATGCTTTCTGACTTAATACGTAATGCAATTAATTATATAAAATTTAAGAGAATATTGTTAAACTTTGTAAATAAAAATTTGACGAGTAAGAAGAAAAAAAAGACTGCCAGCTAGTATTATCAAATTTTAATAAATTCAGAAACTTTAACTTTATAGTTATTAATTGTTTTAATTAACAACAAAAAACCGAGTTTTAATTGATAAAGTAATTTTATTTATATGAGAAAACATTGGATTTATTTAACGTCAGACTTTTTAAAAGCACATATTTTATAAATATACACTTAAGAGTATTTGTAATTTAATTGCGTGTGGACTGAATTTGCAATTCTTAAATCGACAATTTCACGTTTGATTTTATCTTGGAAAACTTCGATAGTTTAAATTCCAATATTCTTTTTAACAGAAAATTCGTTTTAATTATTTTTTTTCTCAAGCAGAGATATGTATTTTGAAAAAAGTACCCCTCACGCACACGTGCACACGTACACATTATATATATATATATATATATATATATATAAAGTTCATTTAGAAAAAGAAGTTCCGTAGCAAAGATATGATTATATACACCGTTAACTAGTGATGTAAATTATTTTTTATTAAGTTATCAACGTATTTCGAATGAATCATCATTTTATATAATTCAAATTTTAAGCAGAAATCGATTAAAGAAAAATTTTCCTTTATATTATCATGTATTACGTAAACTATAAAATAAATATTATTGTTATTATATTTATGTTCAGAATTTAGTACGTACGTTTCTTTTTTTTTAAGTTTTTGTATTAATTAATTTAAATAGCTCGTAAGTTTAAAATATTAAATTAGATAACATTAATGAATAAAGATGATTTTTTATCAGGAGAATTATCTTAACGTGTATTATATATCTTTCGTCTAACTTTGAATTTTTATAAATTAGCAATTCATGGATTAGATAAATAAGAAAATCATGAATAATATAACCATAAAATAACAACAATTTTCGATCGATAATATCGATAATATAATAATGTTTTTTTTTTTTTTTTTTTTTTCAACTATTATATAAAACAAATAAAAGTGAAAATATTATGGAGGAATCTTTAATAAGTGTAAATAAGCCAATGAGCAAAATTTTTTATTTTACACTTTCTCACATAGATTTACACTCATAAGGAATTAAGTATTATATAATAATAAACCATATTTGCTTTTCAATTTACAAAATACTTCAGGACGAACATTTTTTATTTTCAGGTATCATTATAAAGACTTATTTACACGAAGTATGATGATATAATTAACAATTGTCATTTTTACACTTCTATTTATTTAAATATCTACTAGTGCACACGTGATTATGAATAATATTATGTTATTTAAATTTAATTTTATGTATGTCATAGTATGTTTAAAAACTACGAGTAAAGAGCACATTTTTTATGGGATATATTAATAAGATTTCAAATTTTCATTTCAACTGCTTAAATGCATGCGATTAAATTCTTCTTACTTAATGAAAATAATAAATATCTGAAGTGCTACAAATTGTTATCTGGACTTAAAATTTTGAATGGTAGAATATTTTACATGATAAGTATAATAACGGTTACGAGTACAGTGTAAGTTAGTATAGCTTACGGAACAAATGATTTTAATTATTAAATAAGTATGAGATATAAAAAAAAATGGAATTATCATTGACATAGTACTTTGGG